GATGATCCCTCGCCAGCTCCTGACACCCACTGTGTGAATGACCCAGAGCCACTCCCTTCCTCTCTCCGGGCCAGCCGCGCTCATCCCTCAGAGGAAGTTTCTGGAATCCTTGCTCCCCTGGCTCCGGCTCTGAGTCAGCGCCCTGATGGATGGTGTGTCCGGGCAAGACTCATAGAGGTCAAGTCCAGGCTCGATTCTCAATCGGGCATTCAAGGCCACACCCAGGCTTGGTTCCACCCAGACAAAAGTTCCCTTCCACCTCCACTCCTAGTTCCACCACCACACCTGGCCTCCCCAGTCCGGTTCTCACTCCCCTCCTTCAAGTCCCTTGCATGTCCACGCCTGTGCGGTAGCATCTCTGGCCAACCCCGTCCCTCCATGGCTTTTGGTCCTGAGGTACTGTCAGCCAGAAACACCAGCCCTCTCCCCACAAACGGGGGGCAGGTGGGGAGGGTGGTAAACTTAGGTCTCACTGCATCAAGAAGCTTCCAAAATCCCCACCGGCCTTATCACGCACCGATGGGGCAATACCCCCCCTTCTTAACTGGGACCCCCCACATGGGACCTGTATGGTGAAGGCTGGCTTCTCCCTCCCCGGGACTCGGGATCCGGAGTCCTAATTGTCTGGGCAGAGACACCCACGCCCTGCACTCTCCCACCTGTGGCATGGGTGTGGTGAACTCCCTTTCTCTCCAGGTGAGCATGCCTGACCCAGTCCTGGCTAATCACTGAGCAATGTCTCTTGGCAATGTTGCAGGTCTCAACGCCTCAGTCCTTGGGGACTCTAGACCAGGGAGGACCAGAGGCGCTGGGGTTGTAGAATTTAAGGGACCCACAGAGTAAACATCTTCAAGCCAGAGGGATCCACAAGGTCAAAGGTTTAGATTCCTAAGAGGAAATGGGGGCTCTGGCTTAGAAGCTGAAGGCTTACAGGCACAAAGATTCTGAGATGGGACAGTGTGAGTATGGGAGGGCCAACCTTGCTAACACCCCAGGCTCAAAAGAGAGGGCAGGCTAAGGATGCCAGGAGCCAAGGGGCAGCGGTTCTAGAAGGAGGAGGGTGAACCATGTTGGAGTTCTAGGCTCATAAGGGTCCATGGTGCTAGGTTCTAGGCCTGGAAGACTCTAGGGACAGTAGGGTGGGCAGAGTACTAAGATGGGAAGAAGGGACCATGTCATGATTCTAGGAGTGTGTCAAGGATCGAAGGTTCTCAGACTGGGTGGGTCCACAGTGGGTAGGGTGCTAAGAGTGTAAGGTGGTGAGTTTGGATGGATCGGTGATGCTAATAGGATGCCAGGTCTGAAGAGGCCAGTGAGGTCCAGGTTCTAGGTGTGGAAAGGCCAACCATGCTAGAGGTTCTAGTGGCAAATGGACCCATTACGCCAAAGGTTCCAGGTGTGAGCAGGATTGGCGTTCTAAGGTTCTAGGTTGGGTGGTGGGCAAAAGCAGGAAGGTTCTTGATCTGGAAAGCACCGTGGTGCCCAAGGTTCTGGGTTTGGAAGGGTCCGTGGTATTACTGTTCTAGAATTGGAAGAGTCAGT